TGTTATTTTCAGTGACTATTAAAAATAGGAACAGGTGTAGGTCACTCAATCCTGCTGTGCCATTGAATGGGATCATAGCTTTTCTGCTCTTTCTCTGTAACCTTTGATTCCCCAACTGATCAAGAATCCATCTATCTCAGTCTTAAATATACACAAGAACTCTGCCCCCATAGCTCTGGAGTTCCTAAAACTCAATCCTCAGAGAGAATTTCCTCCTCATCTTAGTCTTAAATTGATACCCCTTTGTTCTGACACTATGCCTTCTGTTCCTAGACTCCCCCCTAGAGGGGAAACATTCTCTCACCTTTTACTGTATAAAGGCCTTTAGGAATCCTGTACAATTGAATGAGATTTCTTCATTCTTCTAAACTCGTGAATAGTGTCCCAGTCTGCTAAGCCTTTACTCATAAGATAATTCCTCCATACCAGGCATCATTCTAATGAACGTTCTCTGAACCGCCTCCAATGAAATGATAACATTCCCTAAATAAGGGGACCAAAACAGTTCACAGTACTCTAGATGTGGTCTTACCAGCACCTTACACAGTTGTAGTAGCCCTAATCTTATACTCCAACCCCCTTAAAATAAGGACCAACATTGCTTGTCTTTCACTATGATTGACCAATTGAATGCCTGTTTCATCATCATACTGTTTCAATTATGAATTCAGCCTTCAATAACCCCCTGTTAACAATTGTGCATTCCTCACTTGGCAGTATTACTCACATGACACGCATGCTGTCTACTGTTGGGAATGAACCATTGCAAACATCAGATGCTCTTTATTGGTTTCTTAAATATCCTAATTGACTCCATATTTCATTCATGAGGTTTCCTGACTTTATGGGCAAACATTGGGAAATACAAAAGGAGGCTGAAAGACTTTGAGCTATTAGCCTAAGACTTTATATCATAATTGTACCATCCTACCTGCCAATCATCCCATCTCCAACTTTGGTAAAATTCTACCAACAGTATCCAACAAAATACTCATAAGAGTCATTGAGATCTATGCCACAGAAAAAGGCCCTTCAGTCTATCAAGCCTGAAGTGGTCAAAAACAACGACCTAACTATTCTAATCCCATTTTCCTAAACTTGGCCCATAGCCTTGTGTGCCTTGGCATTTCAAGTACACATCTAAATATTTCTTAAAAGTTTTGAGGCCTTCTGCCTCTATAGTCCTGGTAGACAGAAAGTCCCAGAATCCCAACGTCCTCTGGGTCTGTCCAAAAGTTATGCCAACTGCAGATTCAATTCTTATTTAAAATCCTCTTTGAGTGTAGGAAATTCGCAAACCTTAAACTCCGAGTTGCCCAAATGAGAGATAAACAAATGGTTATACCTGACTACTATAATACCAACAGGCTAGGATGTATACTACTGGTGAAGTTTCATTCATTGAAGGACCACATGTCTGAGCAGTTGTAAAATGGAACATGGCAAATTCCAGCCAAATAGACATTCAGGAGAAAGCGTTGGTTCATGTTCTGGAGTAATTCTGTAATTTATTACTCTGCAGGGACTTCAAATACGATAGACAAAAGTTTTTTGGGAGAGAGGTTGGGAAGTATTATGCTCCGCTTTTGAGTTAAGCCCATCTCAGAATTTCATAATTCACCATTTCATAGAACTGATGTGATCAATAACTAAACATTCTCCTTCCCACTTAGGAGGGTTGCCTATGGCACTTGTGTGGCTGGAAGGAAAAGCATCAATACAGATGATACCAGTTCTACACATAACCCTCTCCACTTCAGGACAACCATTGGAATCTACACATGTGAAGTCCATATCTGATGTTGGTGCTTCTAGAGAATGTTGAACCTTTTGATTATTCTTTTGATGTGTCACTCTAAAGGCCAACTTCATGGGCCATGCTTAGTTGATTTTTAGAGGTGATAATAGGTCCCCTTGGGCCACTACAGTCCAGGCAATGAAGGTGACTGCCAATTCTAATCGGCAGTGAATTTTTTTGACTCTGAAGATGGAAGATTGTCAATATATGTGGAGATCAGGATGATGTGTTCCTTGGAAGGTTATGTGTTTGTTATGCTGTTTCCCTTGACCTGCTGCTCTTAGCCTTCTAGATGATGGAGATGATGGAGGGTGCTTCCAAAGATTTCTTGGCAATTTACTGCAGTACATCTTGCATCTAATACACACTGCAACAGGTAATAGAAGGTTAATAATTAGGCCATTAGGTGGATTTAATTCTTTTGTTCTTTATTCATTCACAGAATGAGGGCATTGCTGGCTAGCCCAGCATTTATTGCCCATCCCTAATTGTCCAGAGGATAGTTATGAGTCAACCACATTGCTGTGGGTCTGGAATAACACATAGGGCAGACCAGGTAAGGATGGCAGTTTCCTTCCTAAAGGGACATTAGTGAACCAGATAGGTTTTCCCTGACAACTAGCAATGGATTAATGGTCATTATTAGACTCTTAATTCCAGATATTTATTGAATTCAAATTCTACCAGCTGCCACGGAGGGATTCAAACCCAGGTCCCCAGAACATTACCACGGGTCTCTGGATTAATAGTCCAGCGATAATACCACTAGGCCAATGCATCCCCAATTTGCCCTGGTTGGTGCTGTTAAATGTTATTGTTACTGAACTCATCCAAGAAAATTGTGTGTATTCCATCACATTTCTGACTTGTGTCTTGGGTGATGTGAACAGTCTTCAGAGAGTTAAGCCACCTCCCGCAGAATATCCAGTCTCCTATTTTTACTAATGGCAATTCCAATTATCTTGGTATCCGACTTGAGTTTCTTGTCATATGAGCCCCTAAGGGTTGATAGTGAGCACAGCAATAGTAATGCCATTCAGTGTCAAGGAAGGTGGATAGATCTGACTTATCTGAAATGACATTCCACAAAATTCATGTAACGTGATCAATAATTACCTATCCTGGATGTGGTTCAGGTTTCGCAGCCTGTAGGACTGAATTGCTTTTTCAAAAAAGTAGTGAATAACCAAATGAAAAGTGTTGCAACGTGAGTTTGAAAAATGAAGTCATAAACTAAAAATAGGATTTCCTGAATGACAAGCTGAAGTGTATTCCTGATTCCGTATCCCATAGGGAAGCACCTTACCTAGGATTATAGTGGAAAATGCATTAAAAGGCAGATTATCATTTATGAGAGAAAATAAAGTTATCAATAGAAAGGGAAATAACAGATTTTACAAGCAGATAAAAAGTAAAAATGAATTGTTTTATTTGTTCTCATGATATTGGTGTTAGAGGCCAGCCTACCAGTCATTGCCTGTTGCTGGTTGACTTGGAGGAGGTGGTGACAGAATTTCTTGATCTGTGTTATGTAGGAGGTCCGAACATTTTGATTTAGAATTTAAATTTGATAAAGCACTGGTCAGGAATGTAGGAATAACTATTTTGCACCTGAGACTGTACTTCCATTCAACTAAATAATTGAATCATGTGATTAGCTCCACATTCCTCATATCCTTTAAAGCTTTCGAATGACTTAAAGACTATCAATTGCAAAATTAAAATTTACAATTGATCAAGCATCAGTCCCTGCTTATGGAAAAGAGTACCAAAATTCTATTGCTATGTGCGTAGAAATGTTTCCAAATTTCACTCCTGAAAGTCTTTAATTTTTACACTATGCTTCCTAGTCCTAGCTTCTCCAATCAGCAGAAATAAATTCAATCTAGACCACTTATTTTCTTTAATGTCTTGAAAACGTATCATTCACCTCTAGAACTCCTAAATCACAGGAAACATAATTTTAGTTATGTCTCAAAAACAGAAATTGCTGGAAAAGCTCAGCAGGTCTGGCAGCATTTGTGAAGAGAAAGCAGAGTTAACGTTTCAGGTTTAGTGACCCTTCTTGTGTTCTGAAGAAGGGTCACTGGACCCAAAATGTTAACTCTGCTTTCTGTTCACAAACGCTGCCAGACCTACCGAGTTTTTACAGCAATTTCTGTTTTTGTTTCTGATTTCTAGCATCGGCAGTTCTTTGGGTTTTTTTTCTGGTTAAAATGTGTGTAATCTGTCCTTATGATTTAACCTTTGAAATTTACTATAATTCTGGCAAACATATGCTGCACTCCTTCAAGGTCAACATATCTTTGTGTAGACCAGTACTGCTTACAATATTCTAGACGTGGTTTAATTAAGCAATTGTATAGTGAAGCATAGCTCCTACTCCCTTGTATTCTAGTCCTGCAAGGGCCACTAATCCTTCAGTTTTTTTTAAATTATTTTCTATACCTGTTCATGATATTTAATCAAGTAGTGTATAGGAGCCTCTAAATCTCTTTGGACATCCACTGTTTGTAGAATTTTTTAAATTCAGTCATAGGATGTGGGTGTTGCTGGGTAGACCAGCATTTCATCATTCATCAAGTAGATCAACATACCTAGCCATATTAGAATTAATTTGGTGCAGTTTTGCCCATGCTTTGTATTGATCAGTATTTTTTGTTATTTTAAACTTTCATTTACACTGGTTACAATGACACCTATCTTTATCATCAGCAAATTAGAATATGGACTTTTTAATTGATCCCATTGACTAAATCACTAATAAATACAAATGATTAATTGAGACCTAGACACTGACCAGACCAGACCAGCAGGACACCTTCTGTAAAATTTCTCAACTATATGTCTCAAAGTTAAAATCTTGTTCTGCTTGACATCTTTGTCAACCCACCCTAGACCTAAGATCAAGACTAAAATGAACACAATACTGATACAGCATGATGCTAACATGATCCTTGATACTTTGTGGATCACTGCGCTTGGCATCGTTCAGGTGTTTTTTCTGTTATAGCACACAGGCCAAGGAGCAATGTTGTGTAGATTTGGTAAGAACCATCTTTTATTCATCACATTCCACCTTATCTTGGCAATACCTTTCCTTTCTTTTTTGGTATTTTCCTGTATTTACTAATCTTCAGTTACAAATGCTATAAGATGCCAAAAGTTCTCGGATAACCTGATTTTGCATTCTGAGCTGCAATTACAGACAGTGAATTTGTCTATGAGCAATTCTAGAATTCTTGCCAAATGTTGATCCGATGTCAAAGTTCGCCCCTATGAAACATAAGGTATTGAAGCAGTGAGAAGCAGAGTGATAGTTCTGATTACATCAGCTGACAAAAGATTGAAGGCACAAACCAGCTTTGAATTATCAGAGTCTCTTAGTTTAAATTACAGGCCATTGACTGACATATTCTTCTTCCACTGTTGCTGGGCCTCTCTTGTAAGCATACCTGATGTGTTTTTGTATCAAGTGAATATGTTAATTGGAATCCCATGATCCAAGTTCACAAGTAGAGCATCAAAATCAGTCGGCATGGCTGATGATGTAATGACAGCACTAGTCCTGAGACTTCCAATGCATAAAGGAGTCACCTGTGCCAGTGTCATTCCTAGCATGGGCCATCATGTAGGCCCCACTGGAAGCTCAGTATGTCGAACTCCAAAGGTTTCTGGCTTCCCTTAATCTAAAGGGAAGTCATGGTAGCATAGCTTGCACCAGTGAAATGTTCATCCTGTGCTATGTGGAAAGTCATGGACACTTTCAGTGTCCCTGGTGACCACATGTGTCCAGCTGCAGCTACTGGTTAATTGCACTTCAGAGATGGCATGATGGATGGGCTCACTGTAAAGCACCTGTGATGCTCAAATTATTGTGGACAACACATTCAGTGAGATGGTCACATTGTAGATAGAGATGAAACAGGAAAAAAAGGTGACCACTAGCAGAGTAGGGGAATACAGGTAGTGCAGGAGTCCCCTGTGCCTGTCCTCCTCTCTAACAGATTTACCGTTTTGCATACTTTGGGGGGAGAAGGTATCTTGGGGGATAGCGGCAGAAGCCAGGCCCATGGCAGGTAGGGGAGGAAGAAGAATGGCAGGACAATAGTGAAAGGAGATTCAATAGTGAGGGGAACAGATTGCTACAAATGAGATACAGGATGGTATGTTGCCTTCATGGTGCCAGAGTAGCTGCAGGGCATTCTGAAAGTGGAGGGTGAACAGCCAATGGTCACATGATATATTTGTACCAATGACACAGCTTGAAAAAAAAACAAGCTGCATATAGGGAGTTAGAATGTAATTCAAAAAGTTGGATGTCAAAGGTAGTAATCTCAGGATTGTAACCAGTGCCATGTTCTTGCCAGAGTAAAAATAACAGGCTATATCAGAGGAATGTGTGTCTGGAAAAATAGTTTAGGAGGGAGGGATTCAGATTCCTGAGACATTGGGACCTGTTCTGGGGTAAGTGGAACCAGTACAAGCAGGACAGGTTGCATCTGGGCAGGACTGGGGCCAATGTCCTCAGGGAGGGTATTTGCTAGAGCTGTTGGAGAGGATTTAAATTAGCATGGCAGGGGCATGGGAACCTGAGCAGAGACACATTGGTGGAAGAAACAAGGATAGAAATAAAAGATAAAAAGATGAGGCAAAAGTAGGAAAAAAAAGGCAAAAAGACAAATGGAGGCAGTGCAAAATAAAGCTAACTAACAAGGTTAAAAAGACAATTCTAAAGGCATTGTGTCTCAATGCATAGAGTACTTGCAATGAGTTGGATGAATTAACAATGCAAATAGATATGCACAGTATGATATAGTTGTAATTACATAGACATGGCTGCAGGGTGACCAAGGATAGAAACCAAACATCTAGGAGTATTCGATATTTAGGAAGGATAGACAAATAGGAAAGGAGTTGGATTAGCATTGTTAGTAAATGAGTAAAATCAATGCAATAGTGAGGAAGGATACTGGCTTAGAAAATCATGATATGGAATCTGTATGGGTGGAGATAAGAAACAGAAAGTGGCAGAAAACATTAGTGGAGGTTGTATGTAAGGCTCTAAACAGTAGTGAGGAAGGCATAAACAGGAAATTAGAGACACATGCAATAAGGGTACAACTGTAATCATGGGCTACTTTAATCTAGACAAACCAAACCAGCAATAATATCATGGAAGAAGATTTCCTAGAATGTATACGTAATTTTTTTTTAGACCAATACATTGAAGAACTAACTAGACAGCAGGCAATCCTAGAGTGGGTATTATGCAATAAGAAAGGTTTAATTAACGTTTTTTTAATGTGGTTTCCTTTGGGGAAGAGTGATCATAAAATGATAGAATTATTCATTAGGATGGTGAGTGAAGAAGTTGAAGCCAAAACTAGGGTCCTGAATCTAAATAACTACAAGGGTATGAGATGCGAGTCGGCAATGATGGATTGGGTAACCTTCAGTGACAGTGAATAGACCAATGGTTTTCAACTGGTGTGCCATGACACAGCAAGAAGTGTGACGCAAAATGTTCAGGAAGCAGCACTGTTTTACCCAAGTGTTGAGGCTTCATCCATGCTTCCACTCTCCTCTGGAGTCTTAATGTCCGCGACTGAAGGCAATAGCTGCTGACACTAGGTAATCCTATTGATTCCACATGTATAAACCTCCAGAGCTGTGCATGCATCAACTCATGATACCAGAGATTTGCTACTGTGCATGTGTTGATATTTGCAATGATTCAAGCTGAGAAAAATGGGTGTGCCACGGAATTGTTTGTATCATTGAAGTGTGCCTTGATACTGAAATGTTGGGAACCATTGGAATAGATAATGTCTAATATACTTAAGGAACGTATACATGATGACAACAATTATTCATTCCTATCGTGCACAAAAATAAAACAGGAATACTGGTTCATCCATGGCTTAAGAAAAAATTAGGGATAGTTTTAGATCTAAAGAAGAGACATAAAATTGCCAGAAAAAAGCAGCAAGCCTGAGGCCTGAGAGCAGTTCAGAATTCAACTAAAGAGGTCAAAAAGATTGATCAAAATGGGAAAGTAGAATATGAGAGTAGACTTAGAGGGAGCATAAAAACTGACTGTAAAATCTTCCACAAATATGTGAACAGAAAAGAATAGTGAAAACAAATATAGGTGTCATACAGTCAGAAATGGGGCAAATTGTAATGGGGAACAAAGACGTGGCAGAACAGCTGAGCAAATAGTTTGGTACTGACTTTGCAAAAAGGACACAAATCATTTCTCATAAATGTTAGGGACTGAAGGGTATAGAGAAAGGGAGGTATTGAAGGAAATCAATATTAGTAAAAAGGAAGTTAATGGGGTTAAAGGCTGACAAATCCTCAGGGCCTGATAATCGACATCCCAGAGCACTAAAGGAAGTGGTCCCAGACATATTGAATGCAATGGTGATGATCTTCCAAAATTCTATAGACTATGGGGCAGTTCCTGTAGATTGGAGGGTGGTAAATCTAACCCCATATTTGAAAAAGGAGGGAGAGAAAAAAAAACAGAAAAGTATAAACCAGTGGAGAAAAATACTAGAGTCTTTTGAAAGATGTGACAGCAGAACATTTGGACTTTTCATCATTTGGATGTGAACATAGGAGCTATGGTTAGTAAGTTTGCAGATTACACCGAAATTGGTGGTGTAATAGACAGTGAAGAAGGTTACCTCAGGGTACAACATGACCTTGATCAGATGGGCCAATGGGCCAAGGAGTGGCAGACGGAGTTTAATTAGATAGATGTGAGGTGCTCCATTTTGGAAAGGCAAATCAGGGCAGGATTTATACACTTAATGGTAAGGTCCTGGGAAGTGTTGCTGAACAAAGGGATCTTGGAGTGCAGATTCATAGTTCCTTGAAAGTGGAGTTGCAGGTAGACAGGATAGTGAAGAAGGCATTTGGTATGCTTGCCTTTATTGGTGAGTGCATTGAGAGTAGGAGTTGAGAGGTCATTGTTGTGGCTCTACAAGACATTGGTTATTGTGTGCAATTCTGGTCTCCCTCCTATAGGAAAGATGTTGTGAAACTTGAAAGGGTTCAGAAAAGATTTACAAGGATGTTGCCAGGATTGGAGGGTTTGAACTATAGGGAGAGGATGAATAAGTTGCGGCTGTTTTCCCTGGAGCATCGGAGGCTGAGGGGTGATTTTATAGAGGTTTATAAAACCACAAGGGGATGGATAGGTTAAATAGACAAGGGTCTTTTCCCTGGGATGGGGAGTTCAAAACTAGAGGGCATAGGTTTAAGGTGAGAAGGGAAAGATATAAAGAGGGACCTAAGGGACAACGTTTTCATGCTGTGGGTGGTGCATGTATGGAATGAGCTGCCAGAAGGCTGGTACAGTTACAACATTTAAAAGGCATCTGGATAAGTATATGAGTAGAAAATGTTTAGAGGGATATGGGCCTAGATTTATTTAGGATATCTGGTCAGCATGGACGAGTTGGATCAAAGGGTCTGTTTCCGTGCTATATATCTCTGTGACTCTAAATGGTATATTGGCCTTCATTGCAAGAGGATTGGAAGTCAGAAATAGGAATGTCCTACTGCAGTTATACAAGGCACTGGCTGAGACCACACCTGGAGTATTGTGTGCAGTTTTGGCCTCCCTACCTAAGAAATGGTATACTTACCACAGAGGGAGTGCAGCGGAAGTTCACTAGGCTAATACCAGGGATGGCAGGACTGTCTTATGTATAGAGATTACTTCAACTGGACCGGTATTCAGTAGAGTTTAGAAGGATAAGAGAGGATTTGTTTGAAACATGTAAACGTCTAACAGGGATGGACAGGTTAGATGCAGAGAGGATGTTTTCCCTGAGTGGGGAGTCGAGAACCAAGGGTCACTGTCTCAGAATACAGACTAGGCCATTTAGGACTGAGAAGAGAAAACATTTCTTCACTCAGAGGGTGGTCAGCCTGTGAATTTCTCTACCAGAGAAGGCTGCGGAGGCTAAGTCACTGAGTATATTCAAGAAAAAGTTTTATAATTTTCTTGGTATTAAAAGCATCTTGGGGTACAGAGAGAAAGCAGGAGAGTTCATTGATTTAAATAATCAGCCATGATCATATTGAATGGGGAAGCAGGCTTAAGGGCCGAATGGCCTACTCCTCCTCCTGGTTTTTGTGTTTTTTTCACGCTGACTCCAGAAGTGCCATACTTCCGCATTTTGCAGCTCTAAGGTTTCATGTGTGTTTCATTTGTGCGGAAACAACTTGTAGCCGTCCCAGTCTAGACTTTATTCACTTGGGAGGAGTGGCCAAGGAGTGGCAGATGGAAACCATGCAGAGTGGCAGATGGAGTTTAATTTAGATAAATGTGAAGTGCTCCATTTTGGAAAGGCAAATCAGGGCAGGACGTATATATTTAATGGTAAGGTACTTGGGAGTGTTGCTAAACAAAGAGACCTTGGAGTGCAGATTCATAGTTCCTTGGAGTCATAGTTAGACAGGATATTGAAGAAGGCATTTGGTACACTTGCCTTTATTGGTCAGTGCATTGAGTACAAGAGTTGGGAGGTCATGGTGCAGCCGTAAAGGACATTGTTTAGGCCAATATTGGAATACTGCGTGCATTTCTGGTCTCCCTGCTATAGGAAGGATATTGTGAAACTTGAAAGGGTTCAGAAAAGATTTACAAGGATGTTGCCAGGGTTGGAGGGTTTGAGCTATAAGGAGAGGCTGAATAGGCTGAGGCTATTTTTCCCAGAGCATTGGAGCTGAGGGGTGACCTTATAGAGGTTTACAAAATCTTGAGGGGCATGGATATGGTAAATAGACAACGTCTTTTCCCTGGGTTGGGGGATTCCAAAACTAGAGGGCATAGGTTTAAAATGAGAGGGGAAAGATTTAAAAGGGACCTAACTTTTTCACACAGAGTGAGGTGCATGTTCAGAATGAGCTGCCAGAGGAAGTGATGGAGGCTGGTATGATTGCAACATTTAAAAGGCATCTGGAGCCGTATGTGAATAGGAAGGGTTTAGAGGGATTTGGGCCAAATGCAGGCAAATGGGAGTGGATTAATTTAGGATATCTAATGGACATACACAAGTTGGACAGAAGGATCTGTTTCCATGCTGTACAGCTCTATAACTCTACGATTGTATGAGAATAAACAGTTAAGGAATCATCTAATTAAAGCTTCCAATAGGCTGGAAGAGAGAGACTCTTGTTGGTAATGTCCTTTCATCTGGGCCAGAAGGTCTGGGTTCAAGTTCCTCCAGAGATGTGTCATAACACATTGCTTAAAATGATCTATTCAAGGATGAAAACATTTCTTCACACAATAAATCTGGAACTTTCCCCAATAAAGCTGTTAAATCTGGGGAATCAATTAAAATTTTCAAAGCTAAGGTTGAGTGATTTTTGATGGGTAAATTATTAAACAATATAGAATCATAGTAGGTACATAAGTAAGAGCAGGCGTGATCTAATTGAATAGCTGAAAAGAATTAAAGGAACAAATTTCCCCCTTCCCAATTCCTGGAATACTTGTAGTTTGATGTTAGAAAGTTAGAGCTTGTCAATAAGTTAGAAATGAAGAGGAATTGCATTTGTTTTTTTTGTAATATAACAGAATGTACAGTTTCAGCCATACTTCCAGAAATCTGCACAGTATTGTCTTTAAAATCATTTTATTTTCATATCATTCCTTTGTTTTACTTTGGGCTCGGCTAAAACTATATAAAAAAACATTAGCCATGTCAAATTTAGTAAGTATAAATACTCAGCAAAAACATCCAGTGTGTACATCGGTGTTCAATGAGTGAAAAAAGATTTACAATTAACCAAAAATTATTTATTGTTAATCTAAATAATTGAGACTATAATACAGGAGAGCCAGGTATGTGCTGGCATTGCACTATGGAAATCAATGGACAGCAAACATACACATTCGCAGGAGGTGTCTCAGCTCTGGATCCAGCTCTCTGCACACAATATTCCAGGTGTGGTCTCGCCAAGGCCCTGTACAACTGCAACAACACATCCCTGGTCCTGTACTCAAAGCCTCTCTCAATGAAGGCCAACATACCATTTACTTTCTTTATCACCTGCTGCATCTGCATGCTTACCTTCAGCAACTGGTGCACAAGGATGCCCAGGTTCCGCTGCATACTCCCCCTCTCCCAGTTTACAGCCATTCAGATAGTAATCTGCCTCTTGTTTTTGCTTCCAAAGTGAATAACCTCACATTTATCCAAGTTATACTGCATCTGCCATTGATTTGCTCATCTCACCCAACCTGTCGAGATCATGAAGGATCTCTGCATCTTTGTCACAGTTCCCCCTCCCACACAACCTGGTATCATCTGCAACCACATCACCAGACAGGTACAAAGGACTTGGAGGGAGTGTAGCACACTTAGTTATGAGATTAAATGGCCTAAGATTGTTTTCACTGGTGTTTACTGGGTTGGTTTGATTGAGGTTTTCAGGATGTGAAGGGAACTGGCAGGTCTTGGGGGCTATGGAATGGTCTAAAAACAGGTGGAATAACCTCTGCTGTACCATAACAATTCTGTGATTCTAGACCCAGACCTTCTAGGAGTAAAATATCTGCACACCAAGGTGATTGAAGGTTGAAACTTACTTCTGCAAATGACAATTGATGTCATGTCCATTGTTAATTTTACATCTGAGATTGAGAATTTTTTAAGAGTTTGGTCACAGCTCAGGCTCGAGAAGGTAAATGTCCAAATGGTAAATGAGTTTTTGTGTACAGGATTTGAGCATTCAATATCCAGTCATAAACAAAAACCTACCTGGCACATGACCACCATATTTTGGAACCATTGGGGTGGAGAGGTAAAGTTTACTTTCAGGCTGTGGAAGCTCCTCTGGGCAACCTTTCAGTTTGTTTCTCACTAAATACTGAAAAGGAAATGTTCACAATCAGTCCTGTTTGAGATTTCAAATGGAAAACAGCGAAACATTGCAGTGTGTGAGCTCTCTGTTCCTGTTATCACCATTTACTGTGATTCATTCAGTGGAGGAGCGGGGGCCTGTCTGTGATGGGAACTACCTGATGAACATATTTAATTGGGCCTTGATTCTCTGAAGCTGATAGGACCCTGGTGTAGCATGAGGACATCCCACACTGTAGGAATTTTAAAAAAAAATAAAAGAAGAACGAAAGATAGTGGGTCACAGAGATCCCAACTGGACTTGCCACATGGAATCTCTGTGATCCATGGTCCTTTTTTTAATCCCTACACTGTGAAAGCAGGCCATTAAGTCCACACCAACCTTCCAAACAGCATCCCACCCAGACCTACCCCACAATTCCCATGGCCAATTCACCTAAACTGCACACTCTGGGCAATTTAGCACAGCCAATTCATCTAACCTACACATCTTTGGACTGTAGGAGGAAACCAGAACACCCAGAGAAAACTCACACAGTCACAGGGAAAATGTGCAAACTCCACACAGACAGTCAACCCAAGGTTGGAATTGAACCCAGGTCCCTGGAGCTGTGAGGCAGCAGTGCTAACCACTGAGCCACCATGCCTTTCCACAGTGGACATGCTGCTGGAGGGATTATGAGAGACCATCAAGGGAATGATGGTTGTGTAGGATGACTACTGGTCCTGATCCTCCGGCAGGAGCAGTCAACCTAATCTGATGTGGCTCTCATGCTCCCAGTAACCGTATCTGATTACGTTAAGGTAAATGATATAATAGCATCTCATTGACTGAGACAGATCAATGTGATGAGTCTACAGTGCGGGTATAGAGAGTTATGTGATCTCTGTTCCATGCACTTTTCATTCTCAGTCTACACTGCTGGCTAGCAGCAATGTGAGAAACAGCTGAATAGGTCAGTCAGTACACAGCCTCTTCATCCCCAGGACCTCAGGGGTGTCCACACACTGTGACACATGGAATTGTGTCCCTCATGACCTCAGGCTAAAGCTTCAGAGGAACTTGGAGGAAGTTTGGCCTCAGAACATGCAGTGTGTCAATCCACCAGCCCCCATGTGATCACACCCTGGGCCTTGTGAACCAACCTTACAGTCGCAGACAAAGAGCTAACTTATGGATACCTTGGGAGATTTGAAAGCTTAGGGCGTAAACCCTTACCAAAACCCTGGAGAGGACTTCAAAGATGGCTGATCTTTCTAGCGACTCTCCCAATCAGTTTGTTGCCAGACCACTTTGCATTCCTTTGGACTTGAGACTTTGGACAAAAGCTACCTTTTCAAACTGAGTAAGAGAGTGCAATCAACAGCAACCTGAGAACACCAAACTGTGAGTCTGCCGAGCCTGTATCCTCAAGGCACTCCTATAGAGTGACAAGACCGAGACAGCATATGCTACACAGGACAAAAAGCTGAATGGTTTCCACATCCGCTGTGCCAGACTTGTCCTCAGCATCTCTTGACAGGACAGAGTCCCCAACTCCAAGGTCCTGGAATATGTTAATTCCATCAGCAAACACTCATTGCTAAACCAATGATGTCTGCCCTGGCTTGGCCATGTACATCTGATGATGGCTTTTTACCTAAAGGCCGTCTGTCAGGTAACCTGGTCACTAAGCTGCAACTTCCTAGGCTTCCAAGCCTCTGTTACAAGGGCACCTGCAGTGAGATATAAGAATGGCAGACATGGACAATGGGGAGACATTGCTGATGACTGTGACCTCTGGGGACTTTGCATTTGGAAAGGCATTGGAAGAGATGGGCGGAAATGAAAAGCTCAGCTGGCTCAGAAGAGGGCCCAGGAAGAAACATAGGCTGGGGAATCGCGCACCTCCTCATCTCACTGTCTCCCTCTGCAGTGAATGCAGCAGAGACCGCCACATTAAAGTGCTGCTCCGAAGCCCCACCATGCAATGCTACAGAGCCCACCACCGTTAAGAAGACAGCTCCTTATAGATAAGGACAAAGCATAGGACATCAGATAATTGAGCTGCAGAGGAGTTGAGAGGCCTCCCCATCCCACAAACCTTGTTCCCAAATCCAAACTCAACAGATTTAGGCCCAGAGACCAGTGACTAGGATGTCAGATTTTATTGGAGTGGGTCGGAGTTGAGGTGGAAGGTTGTGGGAGGAGTTAGCAATTTGCTTTGTATCAGGCTGTGGATTTCCAGCTGGTTAGTGACTGAGGGTGTGTTTGATTAAAAACAAGTGTAAACACAATGTTACTCACTGTGTTCCATTCAAATCCTTTCCAAGAACCAAAAGATCTTCTCCTGGACATGGGACATGCTGGGTATGACTTCGCCCAGATTCAGTGGTTGGGGGTGTGGGCAAGAACCTCTTGTAGCCTGCCACCACTGGTAGAGACTCTGACCTGGTCACTGGGGTCTTTGCCCATAGCAGGAGTCTTCTTACTGGAAATATACAACTTTCCCTAACATCTCCCCCCGACCCCCCAACTACAACCTGGTCCAAGATGGTCCCACTGAATCTGGAATGTTATTGGCTGGAGAGGAAAGATTTGTCCCTCATTGACGATGAAGTCCCACCTCAGGAAATCTGATTGGTTGACAGCTGAATAGTCCCAGTAACCCAGTGGTGCTAATGGCTAGGACTGGTACCACAAGTAGTTCCGAGATTCCTGCAGGATACCAGGAAGCACAAGTGGATGGGAGGTCTCATGGGGGAAGAGGGGAGGTAAGGCCCAAGAGATGTGAAGAGAGTTCTGACGGGCTAGTTATGAAGGGGAACCATTGATGGGGAGGTGCAGAGCTTGTGGGAAGGAGTGTCCAATGTGGAAAGGAAGCTGTTAAAGGAGATACCCCACACCACCCATTCCTGCCCAAGACATGAAGCTCACTCCCCAGGGTTTTGTCCTGCACCCCACCTTCTCCTGGCAATCAGGAGGAAATGGTCAGTTATTGCCCAGTTAAGGGCTTCTACTGGGGCAAGTAAATACTGACCAGTCTATACCTGGAATGTCCCACTGTCAGACTGCCCATAGCCCATGGCAAGGGACAGGCTTCTGATAGAGACATCAAGGGAATTTTATGGGCACCCACCCTTTCAGCAGGGGAGTGTAAAATCCAGCCTCCAATCTCAAACTCATTTGCTATTGTCATTAACATTAGCTCCTAATTGAAAAGTGGACTGAAGCTCAGATTCTGCAGGCCTCCTTTGTAGATCATTTAACAGCATGCAATCAGGCTACTTGACCCATCAAGTCCACACTGAGTTTCCAAAGAGCATTCCACCCAGATCTACCCCCTTCCCCTGTTTGTGTAACCCTGCTTTTCCCATGGCTAAGCCACCTAGCCTGCACGCTACGGGCAACTTAAAATGGCCAATCCACCTAACCTATACATCTTTGGACTGTGGGAGGAAACCCATACAGAGAACAAATGAACTCCACATGGTCAGCCAAGGGTTGAATTGAACCTGGGTCCCTGGTGCTTTTGAGGCAGCAGTGCTAACCACTGAGCCACTGTAACACCCCTGATGTAATCAGATAGACTCCTGAGATGACATTTAAACATCAAGAAGACAGTGTCACGCTATGGGTAGCCTGGAGCTGAGAAATTATACTGGTGCTCCAAAGGTTAATTTAAAAAGGCTATCAATGAAAGTTGGAATAAGGAAGGGGTTTACAGAAAGACACTCAATCTCTGAGAAGTGTGTGGGGCAGCCCTGAGGCTGAGGTCGCGAGATGTCAGTACCTGTTTACGTTGAAACTTGTCCATGGCAGTCTTCGCCTGATCTTTATAAGTATGTCCAAACTCATAACCCATGCGTGGAATAAATCCCGTGTAACCTACACCAAACAATTGTGAAAGGAGACAATATCATTCATTTGTATAAAACGTTCATTTTGTAGTTGCTACAAAAGACCCTGTCATAGAATGGAGTACTCTTGAAGTCTCAGTACCGAGACTCTGTAAAACCTTCAGGTGACAGGGGGGAGGGAATTGGGCTTACTGGTGCCATCATTGGCAACAGCGCTGGTATAATGGGAGTCAGCAAGAAAACATGATGCTGGAAAACCCTTCTAGGGTCCCTGGCTACATTGGTCCATGTTGAACCAGAATTCATAGCCCACCCCACTGCACCCTGTTTTCTCAACACCCCAAAAAACCTAGGATGGATTTTCCTTCACCAGAACCAGTTCTGGAAGAGGTCTGTGTGTGTGAGAGAGAGTATGTTGGGGTGAGTGTGTGTTTGTGGGTGTGGGAGTGTGTGTGTGTGTGGGTGTGGGTGTGGGAGTGTGTGTGTGTGTGTGGGTGTGGGAGTGTGTGTGTGTGTGTGTGTGTGGAGAGGGAGTGTTGTGGTGTGTGTGTGTGGGGAGAGGGAGTGTTGGGGTGTGGGAGTGTGTGTGTGTGTGGAGAGGGAGTGTTGTGGTGTGTGTGTGTGTGTGTGGGGAGAGGGAGTGTTGGGGTGTGGGAGTGTGCGTGTGTGTGGAGAGGGAGGGTTGGGGTTTGTGTGTGTGTGTGTGTGTGTGTGTGTGGGGAGAGGGAGTGTTGGGGTGTGT